ATTTGGTGTTGAATTGTATGAGTTCTTTATATATTTGGGATATTAGCCCCTTGTTGAAGCTGTTGTTTGCAAATATCATCTCCCATTTGGTTGGTTGCCTTTTGTTGTTGTTGTGGGTTTCTTTTGCTATACAGAAGCTTTTAATTTTAGGAAGTTTCATTCATTTATTTTTACCTTTACTACCCTTGCTTTTGGAGTCAAATTCATAAAATATTCTCCAAAATCAAGGCCCATAAGCTTATTACTTGTGTTTTCTTCTATGTAACTTATTGTTTCAGATCTTATATTTTGGTCTTTGATCCATTTTGAATTAATTTTTTAACATGGGGACAAACTGTAGTCCAGTTTCATTTTTTTGCATGTGGCTTTCCAATTTTCCCAGCACCATTTAATGCTGGGAAAGGCTTTCATTCCTCCATTGTGTATTTTTGGCATCTGTGTCAAAAATTATTCGCTTATATACATGTCATTTTATTTCTGAATTCTCAATTATGTTCTATTAGTCTGTGAGTCTGTTTTTCTGCCAGTACCATGCTGTTTTGATTATTGTTGCTCTGTAGTATAATGTGAAAGCAGGTGGTGTGATACCTCCGGCTTCATTATTTTTTCTCAGAATTGTTTTGGCTATTGGGGTCTTTTGTGGTTCTATTCACATCTGATGATTTTTGTTCTATTTTTTTTTAAGTGACATTGAGATTTTGATGAGGATTGTATTAAATTTGTATTTTGCTTGGGTAATATGGTCATTTTAATTATGTTGATTCTTCCAATCCATGAATACAAAGTATCTTTTAATTTTATTATCTCTTTTTCAATCTCTTTTAATAATGCTTTATAATTTTCAGTATACTAGGTGTACTGGTTAATAAGGCAGATTTTTTTCAATAGATGGAATTTACACATATGTTGATATATATGTGATTTTTATGTATGCTATTTTGTTGTATTGACAACAAGTTTCAAAACTTCATACATCAAATTTGCTGAAGGTGTTAACATCATAGATATTTTTACACTTAAAAAGTCGAATTTTGTGCAAAAAAAAAAGAGCATTTGTGGAAAGTTATAATTCATTACTTGATTTTGAAGAAAAATACTACTGAATACTTCGGGAAGCTTATGATGAACATGCTCCATCTCAAGTTCTTGGGAACACTGGTTTAAATGTTTTAAAAGTTATGATTTTGATGTGAAAGACAAAGAACATCCAGGTCAACCTGGATGTTTGAAGACCAACAATTACAAGCATTATTGGATGAAAATACGTGTCAAACTCAAAAACAACTTGCAGAAAGATTAAACATTGCTCAGCAAACAATTTCTGATCGTTTTCAAGCAATGGCGAGGATTTTAAAGGAAGGAAAATGAGTACCACATCAACTGAGCAAAAAACAAATGGAAAACCGAAAAATCATCAATAAAATGTTGCTTCAAAGGCACGAAAGAAAGCATTTTTTGCATCGAATCGTGACTGGTGATGAAAAGTGGATTTATTTTGAGAATCCCAAATGCACAAAATCATGGGTTGATCCAGGTGAACCATTAACATCGACTGCAAGGCCAAATCGCTTCGGAAAGAAGACAATGCTTTGCCTTTGGTGGGATCAGGAAGATGTATTATGAGCTTCTAAAACCAGGTGAAACAGTTAATACTGATTGCTACTGACAACAAATAATCAATTTGAGCCACGCTTTGATCGTGAAATGACCAGAATGTTCCAGAAGACACAGCAAAGTAGATTTGCTTCATGATGACGCACTATCACACACTTCAAAACCAGTTAAAGACACTCAAAACAAGAAAAGTTGTATTGGGACGGTAACCACAGATTACCTGAAAGATGGGGGAAATGTGTAGTTAGCGATGGACATCACTTTGAATAAAGCACTTTTGGTGTTTCTCTCGAAATTATACTAGTATGTCCTTCACATCCTTTGTTAAGTTTATTCCTATGTATTTTATTCTTTTGGTTGCAATTGTAAAAAGAATTGCTTTTTGTTTTGTTTTATTTTTTTTCATTTCTTTTTCTGAAATTAAATTGTTAGTTTATAGGAAAGTAGTAGATTTTTGTACATTGATTTTGTATCCTGGAACTTTAATGTACTTGTTTACATTAAAGTTGTAATGTACTGTTTCTAATAGTATTTTTGTGGAGTCTTTAGGCTTTCCTATATAAAAAATCATGTCATCTGCAAAAAGTTACACTTTTACTTCTTCCTTCCCAATTTGGGTGCCTTTTATTTCTTTCTCTTGCCTGATTGCTCTGGCTAGGACTTCTAAAATTATAAGAATGGTAAGGTTGGACTTCCTTCTTTTGTTCCTGGTTTTAGAGGAAGAACTTTCATATATATGATTTTTTTTTTTTTTTTACAGAGAGAAAGGGAGAGGGATAGAGAGTTAGAAACATCGATGAGAGAAAAACATAGATCAGCTGCCTCCTGCACACTCCGTATGGGGTATGTGCCCACAACCAAGATACATGCCCTTGACCAGAATCAAACTTGGGACCCTTGAGTCTGCAGGCCAATGCTCTATCCAATGAGCCAAACTGGTTAGGGTGAGCTTTCAGTTTTTTAAATCAATGTTTATATTTCCAATTAAGTTAAATTAGTTCTCTGGCTCTTCAGAGTTTTGAATTGGCCTACTTTTAAGTGTAGGCATCTACTGGGAAGAAACCCAGCTTCTCTCTGTAAAGATGCTTAAGAAAGAATATTTGGTTGTTAATACATACTCCAGTCCCAAGTTGCATGCACCCTCTTTGTGGAACCAGTGGGAAAACCCCGTTCCTGAGCTGTGTGTGTTCTCCGCTCTTACTTTGCAGAGCTTGGCTTTGTCTGCCTCCGCACGTGCTCCTCTCTCATGTGGTGCTGCCAGGCACTGCCTCAACACTTTGAGCCATGTCTTGGCTATGCACCTGGGGACCTGAAAGGCACTGACACCAAACCCACCCACCACCCATCATACCCCAGAGTAATTTACTGGTATGCTGAAATCATATCGAGGGTCCTGAAGCACTTAAACTTGCATCATAGATATACTGACCAGAAAGAATGTCTTCATCCAGAAGATGGTATTCAAGTTTGCTACAAAAGCTCTCTATACCAGGGTTACATCTACTTTCCCCTCACAGAAGAATTTATCAATCCTGAAAAATAAGATTTGGAGAATGAGCTTAAACATTACTTGGGGGGAAAAAATGGTGCTGAAGTAAAAATCTTCAATATTCACTTGATAAAATCTGCTGAATGAGAAGCCAGGATATTTTTATTGAATAGCTGGGAGCAGCAGGCTCTTGGGTATTTGAGTTGCAACGGATTTTAGTGGTCATCTGAGGTAACCTGTATTGTAAAGAAACACTTATTACTTTTCAGTTGTGTTGGCAAACAGCTATTAAGCAGTGGTCTCTTATGGCTGGTTCCTGACATTGAGCTTGATTTCTGTTAGGAATATAAAGTGTCGTCTCCCACCAAAAGATACAGAATCTAAAATTCAAAAAAAAAATAAAAATAGGTAGCCGTGGTGATGATGCAGATATTACTTGAAGAGTTGTTTTTACAATATCTTTATTATGCATGTTATCATTTAGAGCAGCACTGTCTAATGGAAGTGTGATGGGAGCCACATACGTAATTTTAAATTTTCTAGCAGCTGAGTTAAAAAATGTAAAAAGAAACAGGTGGCATTAATAATGGTGACATCTTTAACTCACCATACCCCACAATAGTATTATTTTGGCATATAATTAATATAAATATTATGAATGAGATATTTTATATTCTATTTTTCTTACTTCCTCCATTCAGTTTATGTTTAACTCAGCACATCTCAAATCAGAGTAGCTATATCTCAATGTGCTTGTAGCCACATGTGGCCAGTGGCTACCATGTTGGGCAGCACAGATTTAGAACATATTCCTTCAAATATTAAAGAAATAAGTACATTAAAATAGAATAAACTATGTTAGAAAGAGTTCTTAATACTTTTAGACAACTAGAAAAGGGGAAAGGTATGTTGAAAACTACTTAAATAGGTCAGTGGAGTAAAATAGCTATCTGATGTATTAATAGTCTGCATTTCTTATTGGAAAATATTGATCACATGTTAATGATCACAAGTTAAAAATTAGGGCAAACTAGGACACAGTTTGCCTTGTAACGGGTAAGTTTTCTATCACCAAGCCTGTGTGCCCACTCTGATTCCTGCAGTTACAAGTCAAAGCTTCCCAAGGAGCCAGGCCTCTCTGGAGCATGATCTTAGAGGCCTGGTTATGAGTGTGAGAACTTGTAGGGACAAGTAAAAACCCCCCAAAATGAAACATTGCTACAGAAACTCTTACCACTAGTTGTCTGAGGCTAATAAAAAACAAAGAACTATTATAAATCGTCTGTCTTATAGAATTATTTATAGTGGGAATCTTTTCTGTGAGAGTTCTTTATTTCCTGAGACCTTTCGTGTAAATATCTGTGTTTTCATTTCATTAAGTCAGGGTGGATTATTTTTACTCAAAGATGTAATTTGAAGTTTTGGAAAAAGAGAAGAATTAATCTATTTTCATATAGTTTGTGTCATCTACTCATGACTCTCATTGTACCTGCCCTCACATCATCTTTAGTGGAAAAACATATTGTCTAAAAGCTCTCAAATAAGGTAAGGGTAGGAAAATTGTCTTCATTGGTAAATGTTTCTAAAAAGTTAGAAAGCATCTTCGTCAGTGGAACCAGAAACCCCTTTCAATCCCTTTGTTAAGATGTCTTTAAATATATAGATTTTATGAGGGACAGATTGAGGAAAAAAGGTGAATTCTAAAGTAGCAGTTCTCTGCTCAGAGCCTTATAATTAAGGTTTTGGGTGCTTTTTTTTTCTTTTTTTTTTTTTAATTCTCAATGGAGTGAGTCCCATTTGTCCCACTCCTGTCATGCAAACCTCAATCTGAATTTCTTGCCTGCTCTTCTTTGGATTGATTTCTAAGATATTTTCCCCCCTTTTTTTTGGCACCCAGGAATTAAATATCTTTAATTACTTGGATCTGTACAGACTTGCTGACCTCTTTAACCTCACTTTGTTGGAGAAGGCAGTGATCGATTTCTTAGTGAAGCATCTCTCTGAACTCCTGAAGAGCCGCCCAGAAGACGTTCTAACGCTTCCTTATTGTCTGCTTCAGGAGGTCCTGAAGAGCGACCGCCTGACCTCCCTGAGTGAAGAGCAGATCTGGCAGGTAACGGTGCTCTGCATGGGTCTCTGTGGGTGTGGAGAGGGCACAAAATGATTAAAAGTTAAAGGATTGTCCTGGCCGGTGGCTCTGTGGTTAGAGCATTGGCCCACAGAGCTGTGGGTCGTGGGTTCGATTCCTGATCAAGGGCATGTGCCTGGTTTGCGGGTTCGATACCTGGCCCCACTCGTGGGCACATGGGAGTTACCAATTGATGTGTCTTTCTCACGTTGATGTTCCTCTTTCTTCCTCTCCCTTTCTACCTCTCCTTCCTCTCTCCCTTACCCCTTCCCTCCTCCCTTCAACTGTCTAAAAATCAATGGAAAAAATATCCTTGGGTGAGGTTTAACAACAACAAAGTTAAAGTATTGAGGGACAATGAGAAGTATTTTGTTTGGTTTGGTCCTTACTGGACTCGAAGTCTCAGAAGTCATGCTCCTTGATGGACAAGTAACTGAAGAACTAGCCTGTGACGCTTGGAGGCCTTAGCCAGCTCAGCTTCCCTCGGGATTCGCTGGGGAGACACCTCAGGATCTCCCTGTGACTTCCCAAATCCCCAAGCCAAAGGCTTTGTGTGTTCTTTCTCCCGATAAAAGTATTTTCTTAAATTGAATATGAGAAGGATGGATTGTCAAGTGGTACTTAGGCAGTTTCAAGACCAATGGAATCAGAATAAGTTCTGGGCTTGCCTATAAACAATTCAGAAACAGTCCTTTGTTGCAGCGGAGAACAACTGAGACCTTAAATCAAACGAAGCTTTTCTGGCACTGCAGCAGAAAGTCTCCCTCCTTAGTTCATGCCGCATTCGTTGCTGTTTCCTGAGCCCTGCCTTTTCACCTGGCATGGCATTCTTTTTTGAATATCCTTTGTCTCGGGAAAGGAGGATGTGTTGTGTTTTCAAGTTGATTATTCAATTTAAATTCTTCTCCGCTTGCTCATCCCCAGTGGCTATCCTTGAACAATCTGCTTGAAGTCTGGGAAACCGTCAGAGCCCATCTTCCCCCTGCGTCTAAAGACTGTCTGTCTCACTCTCTGAAACACGGGCTAGCCATCTTGTTACTTGTAGGGCAGCATACCTTCAAAATGTCATGCTCATGTGAAAAATACTTACACACAGACTATTTTGGGGAAAATATGAAGTTTTCTATTAACTGATAAGGCAGTGAATTACCAAATAGCATTCAGAGAACCAATAGCCAAAACAGAGTGATACCTGGCTATTAATTAAACCCAGTGTCTGACTCTGCAGATTAATTTTCTGATGTCTTTCTCCTTATTTCTTCCTTTGCATTACTTTAATCAGCAACTTCTTTCTTCATTGTTGCTTCCATCAGTGATGGTAATGAGAGCTGTGGTGTACTGAGGACTTTCCAGACATGGGTTCTTTTCAAACTTTTGACTTATCATCTCAGCAGGCCTGAAGGATGGCTGCTATCACCCCATTTAACAGATGAGCAAAATAAGGCTTTAGTGCCTTGCTCAGGGTTACAAAGCAGAGCAAGCCTTCAAGCCCAAGTCTGCTGACGCCTGCCCTCATTGCTGCAGTGTTCCACATCGCCTTGGAAAACAAAATATCGGGATACAAAAATAAGCTCTAGATTTTTTTTTCTTCTGCTTCTTAGGTATTTCTCATAATGTTTGTTCAGACAGAGGTCAAAGGTGTTTTCGGAAGATGAGTTTTGGGTATAAATTTTAATTATCTGGTATTCTTCCTGTAAACACAAATCATCAGAATTTTGGGGGCAATTCAAAGTGGGAAATGGCTACATTATTTATCTTTGCTTTGCCAAAGGGGAAAAGCAAGACTTGGAATGAATTCTGCATTTAATTGTTTATAACTGAACTGAGATCTGAACCAACCATCATCCTTGTGGCTTCTGCTTCTTTTGGGGGCACGGTTGAAGGCACTGCCAGAGATAGACATGGCAATATGCACAAGTCTAGTCTGAGTGTCCAAAAATCCACACTGTCCACTTTTATGAGTTACCACAATTGCCTCTCTAAAGGTTACTAATATTATAATGTCAAATTTAAAAACGGCTTTTGGCTGCAGGCAAATTTTTTTACACTCGGTCCTCAAGAAAGAATTAAAAGATTCACATAAATATGGTCAATTTAGGCTTTCAGCAGGCAATAAGAAACTGTTTTTGCTTTATTTTAGTATATTAGTAATTCCCTCATACTCAACCCAATAGAGAAAAATCAAATCAGACCAGCTATATTGCCTCAAGTATAGTTAAGTTCATCATTTTTGCCGAGGTTATACTAGTAATGCAATATACCATGGAAGAATCTAATATTCAGCCCAGGGTGAAGATTGGGTATGCCAGAGGATTAGTGTCAGGGTGCTTTATGGAAGTGAAACTTGATGGACAGGCTGGAGACAGATCTACAGAATCTCATTAAATTGCTGAATTGTTCATTACGGAGTGTTCTCACTGTAATAAAGTGCTCATTGACTTTGACAAATCCCCATCCCATGTCTTAAAGAAGAACGGTGAGACTCACGGTGTTGGCGAGGAGAAAAGAAATTGGCACAAAGTCAGATAGGTAATATAAAAGTGGATGGATGGTAGTGCAGCTTTGATTAATGTGTGCAACTGGTAACTTATGGGAGAGCCCAGTAAACATCCCCCCCACACACACACACACACGTGTGTGTTTATACATATGACACTTCCACAATCTACTGACAATATAATCTGGGACATTCCCTTTATTTTGATGAAAGGTCTAAATTTCATTCACTAGACTACAGGCAGTCTGTCTCTGAAGATGTGTCATAAGGACCTTCAATTTATCCTCACTGAACAAACTCTTTTTCCTTTTTTTCTGCTGTCCCTTATTCAGTCTCTTTCCTGATAAAATGTGCTGCAGGCCATAATAGCCATTCTGTGGATCTGGAAACCTGTGAAATCCCCCAAGATTATGCCTTATATCTGTTCTTTTATTTTCATCTGACCTTTTCAAACTTTATCTTAAGTCTCTTCTCTTACAGAAGGTTTCTTCATCCCCCATAGACAATTTTTTTCCTCCCTTCCATCACCTGCAACTATTTGTCCTGTTAGTGTAACTTCACTTTATATTCACAGGTGATGTAGATACTGCACCCTATACACAGGTATGTGGTGTACAAGGACACAGAAGTCCCCTCAAAAAAATTTCTGTATAAAAATTCAATTCAGTTCAGCTCAACAATTTGGCTTTACAGTTTCAAGGCCAGCAATTTCTCAGGTTCCAGATGGAAGACACAATTGATTATGGGCTCAAGAAAGGAGGGGCTAAAAATGAGCAAAGCAGCTGAAGAGGAAGCGAGTCTCCACCATTTTTATTCTGCTTTGGGATTTAGACCTAATTTAGGGCTTTGTTTCAGTAGGACCCTGTTAAATTTCTTCATATAGATTCAACATAATCTTCAGACTATTGAGTCAGGATCTTGCTATCAAGTTTGGAGTGGAATAGTGAAACAATCTCCTACCATGCCCACACATCGGGTCTATTTCCATTTGCACAGGAAGCTCTGGCTAATCTCAGTTTTCTTCTGAGGAAAGGGGGATCTCTGCCTTTCCTACCTAAGATCGTCTCTCAGCAGAATGAGGGGGAGATTGCTCTCCATGGGAGAACAGTTTTTAGAAAAAGCCTGAATATAATAGAAGTGCTAATGTTTGCTAGCACAGGAAAAAGGTGTGGCTCTCTCCTTCAGGACTTGTTGAGCACCTACCAAATAGCCCAAGCCACAATGCAGTGGAAGGCGCTGTACAGGTTTGCTAACTCCATTCCCCTCTCTCCAGCCTCACCCCATCTGGGAGGGATCCTTATGATTTCAAATCATTGATTCAGCTCCCTGGATTATTTTTTTTTTCTCTAAAGTAGCAAAAACAAGAACCATCTTTTTAAATGGTTAAAGATATTGTGTGGGAAAAAAAATGAATATTTCATGAGTGTCTATTATATGCTATGCACAGGATTAGAAGCCAGATCTTGAGTAAAAAGCTTTATAAAGATGTTTAATTATTGGCTTAGACAGATTTGGTTTCCTCTCTGAATGTAGAGAAGTTGTCTTTTCCTTTAATTATGAACTTATTAACTGTTTTTCTACTCTTAGTGAAAAGGGCGTATTATTTATCAGAACAATCCATGTATTAATGTTTTTCTTCCTTTTTAACCTTGCATTGAGGGTACCTCCTTGTGTTTTGAGCCTAACTTTGCCTGGATTTAATGGGCCAAGCATTTCAGTGGTCACAACACTGACATCAAACATGATCAGACCTTAGCAGGGAGAGACCGCTTTATCTTAGTTATTTCCCATTTAAGCACAGCAAGAGAGACCAAGTCACCTGGTTTGGGATTGGGGCTGATCCTGTGTGTACATTAGTCTTTGAGTCTACATCCCCAGAGGCAGGCGCTGTGCCTATTTTATTTGCATTGAACGCTGCCATGTTTTACCCTTGCACTCTATAAATAATAAATAAGGATAATAATGTAGAGTTTTCACATTAAAATATATTGGATGGATAATAAGACAGCCTATTATTCCTATAAACAGTTGGATTTATTCTAGGAACACTGGTATACAAAATGATTTTGGCCTTTTAAAACTGCATCTTTTCTTGTATTTTTGTTGGAAATTTGCATCCATAAGTCATATTGTCAATAACACATGTATTGCATTTCCCTAGAGATGTAAGTCACATGTTGCATAGAGAACCACAAAAGTAGTGTTTTTTATGGTCCTTCCTGGGCTTTTATCTACACCACAAAATGACTCATTTCACGACTTGATTTAATCATGGTCCTCAAAAGAAGTTCCAGAAGGTGAACCCAAACAAAAAGCTACTGTAGCATTTCATAACAGGTGGAAAATAGAAGACACTAGTATTGTACTCAGTTTTTATATTTTATCTCTTAGATGATAAATTGACCCAAATACACCTCTGGCAAGAGAGAAGTTAGGACTTCAAACAGCACTTACTATATGCCCAACAATGCCATCATATTAAATGTAA